TTTTTGGGCATTTTTCTATTTTTTGCCTTAGCTTCGATTTCTTTAGCTAAATTAGTTGTTTGTTGTTATATTCACATTATGAAATTTATTTGATGAGATTTGGGCCACTCAGATTTTGATACTCATGGAAAGAGCGTGATTTTGGATTGACTTAAGCTTGGTTTAAGATAAGTGGCTTGCCTAACCTTGTGTGGGGGAACTCTCTTTAAAATTTTGGCATTGTTGTTATATGAATGCTGTGTACGTGAGGTGGCGAGTGAGTACATGTGCTAATTATTGAAAACCCCTGTTTTATTAAGTAAATATTTATGTTTACCTTTAATTAAGCAATACTAGTATGTGAAACCTCCTATTTAGCTTAGGAAAACATGCCTATGTGACTTAACTGTCTTATCTGCTTTAACTGCTTACTTGGACTCTGTGTAGCATGTTTGGAGTAAATTTCTTGTTTCTTGATACGAACTTGAATAGAATGGTAGATTTCCTTCTTGAGACTGTTGTGTGTTTACTTTGGGACTAGGAGACAGTATCCCGGGAGATTCACCCTGCATGTTTACTTTGGGACTACGGATCAGTATTCCGGGAGATCTTCCAGAACATTTATATTTAGGACTGCAGGATGGTATCCCGGGAGATCCCCCTGTATTGGATATTTACTTTGGGACTATGGATCGATATTCCGGGAGATCCCCCTACACATTATATTTGGGACTATGGGACGGTATCCCGGGAGATCCCCCTGTACTGGATATTTACTTTATGACTACGAATCGGTATTCCGGAGATCCCTCTGCACATTTATATTTTGGACTACGGGATCGGGGAGATCCTCTGCACATTTACGGTTGGGACTACGGGATGTTATCCTGGGAGATCCCTCTGTTGCTATCTCTGTGTACTGAGTTATTTCTTTCTCTAATTTCATCTTCATTGATTGTTAGTATTCTAATTATACTATTACCTATCATATTGTTTCTCCTTATTATATATATAACCAGTAGGGCCCTGACCTTCCTTGTCACTACTCGACCGAGGCTAGGATTCGCACTTACTGGGTACTGCTGTGGCGTACTCATGCCCTTTCCTGTACATGTTTTTCGTGTGCATATCCAGGTTTTTCTGCTCAGCCATACTATCCGTGAGGTGAGGCGATTCAGAGACTTCAAGGTATATCTGTCGTGTCCACAGACCTAGAAGTCCCTCTCTATTTCCCTTTAGTTATAGGCTTTTCCCTATATTTCCTTTGCTACTAGACTTCTGGAGTTAGAAACCTTTTGTATTTTTCTTTAGCTTGCGTGTCATGAGATTCCAGGTTTTGGGAGTGTTTTTGCTCAGTTTGAGAGAGTGATAGTGTATATGGCGATCATCATTTTAACCTTCGTTATTCTATTACCCGTAAATTGCTCGTTTCGTATCTTTATTTCCTTCTTCTGCAAATTGTTAGGCTTACCTAATCGTGGAGACTAGGTGCTGTCATGACAGTTCACAGAGGGAGAACTTGGGTCGTGACATGTTGAAGGATTATAATATCACTATTCTTTATTATCCAAGGATGGCTAATGTTGTAGCTGACACATTAAATAGAAAGAAAGATAGTGTGGGGAGCTTGTCATTCATTCTAAATGCAAGGAGGCCTTTAGCTATGGATGCTCAGGCACTGGCCGATAGATTGGTAATATTGGGCATTTCTTAGCCGATTAGAGTCCTTGCTTGTGTTATATCATAGTCGTCTCTATTTGAGTGCATTAAGACTCGCTAGTATGATGATCCCACTTGCTTGTCCTTAAGGACACAGTGCATCGAGGTGGTGCTAAAGAGGTGATTAATTGTGATGATGTGGTATGAGGTTTCAGGGTTGGATCTGTGTCCCTAATATGGATGGCTTGAAAGATTTATTTCTTGAGGAGGCTCACAGTTCATAATATTCTATTCATCTCGATGCTACAAAGATGTGTCATGACTTGAAGTAGTATTATTGGCGGTGCAGGATGAAGAAGGACATTGTAGGGCATGTTTTGCAATGTTTGAACTGTTAGCAGGTTAAATATGATAATCAAAGACAGGGTGGTTTGCTTCAGAGGTACCAGAAAAAAAGTGGGAGCATATCACTATGGATTTTGTGGTAGAGTTGCCATGGACCTTAAGGAGATTTGACGTTGTTTGGGTCATTGTGGAAGACTGACCAAGTCTGCACATTTTGTTTCGGTCATGACTTCCTACACTTCGGAGAAATTGGCTAGGATCTACACTAGAGAGATTGTCTGATTGCATGGAGTGCCTGTGTCTATCATATCAGATCGAGGCACCCAGTTTAGATCACACTTTTTGAGAGCTTCTTAGTTGAGTTGGGCATGTAGGTTGAGTTTAGTACTACATTCACCCTCAAACAAATGGATAGTTCGAGCTGACCATTTAGATGTTAGAGGATATATTGAGAGCCTGTGATATAGATTTTGGAGGCCAGTAGGATCCGTTTCTAACTTTAGCGGAGTTCCCCTACAACAACAACTACCAGTCTATTTTCCAAATGGCTCCATGTAAGGCATTATATGAGCAGTGTCGTTCATTGATTGGGTGATTTGAGCATGGGGAGGCTAGTTTGTTGGGAAAATATTTGGTTCGGGATGCTCTAGAGAAGGTAAAGTTTATTTAGGAGCATCTTCGTACAATGCAGACTTTCATGGAAGGTTCTCGATACGTCTTTCATGGAATGTGAGAGGGTTCTTCTTAGAGTTTTGCCTTGAAATGCGTGATGAAATACGGGTAGAAGGGCAAGTTAATCCTTCGGTATATTGTTCCATTTGAGGTAATAGAGAGGGTTGGTGTGGTGGCCTATAGACTTGCTTTGCCACCCAGCTTGTCGGGCTGTTCATCCGGTGTTTCATGTCTCTATGCTTCAAAAGCGTCATTGATAAAGGGTGAAAAGTTCATTTTTGAGTGTTTTTGTGTATTAATTCTTGTGTGAGTTGCAGGAGTTCACACTAATTTTGAAGTAAAAATATGCTCATTACATGTTTCTTATGTGTAGGAACGAGCTTGCGCGGAAAAGGATCAAATAGGAGCAAAATTGCCGAAAGAAAAACTGAAGGTAGAAATCTGGGACAATGAAGAAAGGTTCGCTTCGCCAGACTAGTACCGGATCAGAAAATATCAACTTCTCCAATTCGAATAAGGAGAAGCCAAATTCTCCCCAACTGAACCCTAAACCATACAAATATAATAGTTAGCCACTTTTTGAGGTGAGAGAAGACTTTTGGGAGGCAAGAACACACTTGGAAGCATAGAAAAGCCATCACAGATTTCAGAAACCACAGAATTCATCTTGTGTTCTTATTTTTCCCTTGTACTATTGATTTTTATGTATTCTTGGGAATTAATTGAGATTTCTACCATGACTATGCGTGGCTAAACTCGTTTGTTCTGTGTTATGGTTTCACATGAATGTTGATATTCAGAGATTGATTTGATAATTTAATTTATTATATTGGGTTATTTATTCTTATCCTGAACCTAATTATATTACTGCCTAGCGAAAAGTAAAATACTATATATCAATCTTGAGTTGAACTTAAAAGAGGTAATTCTTGATTTTAATAGGATTGAATAGAGCGCGATCTTGAACCTAGTCATTGGAAAATTGATTTGCGAATACGGATAGAAATATACCCTTTTGCCGTGCTTAGCCCATTGTGCAAGAGATTATTAATGCGTTCTTTTTATCTCTAACCTCATAGAAATATATGGCTTAGAAAAAATTAATAAGCGAGTAGAAGTTGTCAAATTTCTACGTGTATTATTGTCATTGCAGTTTAATAACCCCGATAAATTAATAAGTTGAATCGGTGAAAGAATTCAACAGGATGTTTATCGAACCACGACCCTAGAATATTATTTCTCATTGAATTCAACCCTTCGTGCTAAGTGTGCTATTTAATTAGTTCTTCTTTTAATCGCAACTCTAGTTCGTAGAATTAATTAAACAAAAATTACCTTGAAATTGTTCTTGGCTCAATAAATTAGAAATTGGTTGATTTAGTTGCTAATTGATCACAAGTACTCGTATGAACAATTCCCTACTCACTCTTTATTACTTGATTTAACGTTTACACTTGTACGTGCAATTTAGGGCAACAAGTTTTTGGCGCCGTTGTTGGGGACTTCGAAATTAATTGATTTACTAGATTAAGCTTTTACTACTCATCGAGATATTTTTTTTAATCTTCTTTTTGGCTGGGCGTTTGATCTCAGGTACTTTTCTTGAATGCGATGGGTTAGAAGCCAGAATAGACTACATGATTTTGACTCAGAACCTGAGAGAGCATTTCGCAGAAGATTGAGAGAAGCTCGGGTGGAAAATAATCTAGAACACTCATTCAACCTATCGTTGAAATGGTGGATGAACACCCTTTGGTAGTACAAGAGGTGGCTATGCCTATCATTGCTAATGTCACCTCCAGTATCGTTAAGCCTAGGATCACTAGGCATTTCGGGGAAGCAGGTAGACACACAACCCATGAAGCTGCCAGGGTACTTGAATTAGATATTGTATCGGCACTATCTGCACAGGTAGCATCTTTAGAAAATCAAATTAGCAAGATGAATGTGGTTCAGAACCAACAATAGTTCCCACGGATGTAGCAATTTCAACCAGTACTGCTGGTTCAGGTGTTCTATGAAGTCTACAGCGAGGGCCATACCAGTGATGCCTGTCCAGCAAATCCGGAGTTAGTTTACTTTGTGGGGAATACTAATAGAGGACAAGATAATCATAATCAATATGATAATTCTTATATTAAAAATTGGAGGAACCACCCAAATTCTCCTGGGGTGGAAATTAGGGTGTTCAAAATAAGTTCAAACTATAAGGTCAATATTAGTAGTTTCGCCCTCCACAAGCAGATTAGTCCGCAAATCTGATGGGTAATATTGAGGAGATGCTAAAGAGGATTATGGGCTATAATCAAAATCAAGCAAGTGCCATTCAAAATTTAGAGCGATAGATGGGGCAACTTAGCAGTGCCCAGAACACCACACCAGCGGGAGAAGTACCTTGTGACACTGAGGCTAATCCTAAGGCTCCTATTAATGCTGTGTCATTGAGGAATAGGAGAAAATTAGAAGAAGTTCCATCAAAGAAGAGAAAGAAAGTGAAGTTTAGTAAAAAATAGCCCACCATATAAGTCGAATCGGAAACTGCCACTAAGATAGAGAATCCACTCGAAGAGGTTGTGGCAAAGCAACCACAATCAATAATTGCAAAGCTACCACATCCGTTCCCTCAAAGACTGCAGAAATTGAAGGATAATGCATCGTATAAGAAGTTCCTTGATATTTCGAAACAGATGCAGATTAACATCCCATTGGTGGACATTTTTCAAGAAGTGCCAAAGTATGCAAAGGACATCAAGGAAATTGTAGCAAACAAGCGCAAGCTAACTGAGTTTGAGACTGTAGCACTCACTAAGGAGTGTATTTCCATAATTCATAATATGTTGCCTCCTAAATTGAAGGATCCAGGTAGCTTCAGAATTCAAATTTCAATTGGGAAACATGTGTTTGGGCGAGCATTGTGTGATTTGGGGCGAGCATAAACCTGATGTCATTTTCTGTGTTTTCACAGCTAGGGTTCGGAGATCCTCGACTGACTTCGGTGGGATTACAATTGGCAGATAGATCCTTAGCCATACCCGATGTAGTCATTGAAGATATGCTGGTCCAAGTGGGCATATTCATATTCCCAGCTAATTTTGTCATCTTGGATTACGTGCCTAATTAGCAAGTACCATTTAATTTGGGAAAACCATTCCTAGCCACGAGCCAAGAAATTATTGATGTATGTGAAAGACAAATGACCATGAGAGTGGGTGACAAAGTGGAGGTTTTCAATGTATACCGAGCAGTCAAATTTCCTGGACACTATGAAGATTTGGCCATGATCGCAATCGTGGATGATGAATTGGTAGGCATAATGCCATACTTGGTGTCTGAAGATCCTCTAGGAAGAGATTTAATTGATGAAGAAAAGAGGAGGCTGAGCTAGTGGAAGAAATTGTACAGGTTTTGAACATGACATGTCAATATGTCAACGGGTTGAAGAGATTTGAGGAAATTGATAGGCCATTGACTTTGACACCACCTAAGACATCTATTGAGTAGGCTCCAAAATTAGAGCTCGAACCTTTACTTTCCCATATTATGTATGCTTACTTAGGTGCTTTGGAGTCCTTACCTGTTATTATATCATCCTCATTATCACATGTGCAAGAGGACAAGTTGCTGTGAGTTCTGAGGGAACACAAAGGGCCATTGGCTGGACTATTGCTAATATCAAGGGAATTAGTCATCATTTTGCATGCATAAATTATTCCTAGAGGATGGACACTTACCTAGTGTGGAGTAGTAGAGACGATTAAATACTATAATGAAGGAGGTAGTAAAAAGGAGATTATCAAGTGGCTGGACGCTGAGATCATATTTCCTATTTCTGACAGTAATTGGGGGAGTTTTTTGCAATGCGCACCAAAATATTGGAGGCATGATAGTTGTGGAAAATGGGCAAAATGATTTGATACATACCAGAATGGTTACGAGCTGTAGGGTATGCATTGATCACAGGAAACTCAACAAGGCTACGTGCAAAGACCACTCCCCTCTCCCTATCATTAATCAAATGTTGGACAGGCTAGCTGAGCATGAATATTATTGCTTTTTTGATGGTTACTACGGTTACATCCAGATATTTATAGCACCAGAGGATCAGGAAAAGACTACATTTACTTGTCCCTATGGCACCTTCGCTTTTAAAAGGATGCCATTCGGGTTATGCAATGCACCAACGACTTTTGTTTCTAGTTATTTTACAACAACATAAAAAGCCCCCCTCCCCACTTTTATTCCTCGCTCTTCCCCATCTCCCCATTTCCACAAGGTAAGAACCCTTTTCCTCTCATTTTTTTCCCTTTTCGTCTATTGTTCCTTCCCCCATGGCAGTCCCGTAGAATCTTTTGGTGATATTTAGAGATGCTTGAGTAACTTACATACCTCTATGGGAAATACAAACTTCTTTTAAGTGCGGGGTGGCCATTGGGTGTCTTATCAACTTCAATTTTATTCTTTCTAAAACTAGTGTCATACGTGGCTTACTTAGGAACGATTTAGATGTTGTCTTCCCCACTTGTTGTTGAATTGTGCAAATTAATATGGAATAACGATAAATTTATAGAATGATACAGAGGAGATCTAGACGGTTGATTTCAGTGCTACTGAGGGCACTTTTGCGGAGGAGCCAGGACTAGTCGTCGTGAATGTAATGAGTATGAGGAATGTTGCGACCGAGGTTCCTCCTATTTGGGAGGGAGAGCTAATTGAGGAAGTTGACGCATCTAGTGCCGCACTATATGAGACAACGCTTTTGGGGACCGAGGTTCACAACCGGTACTTACCACGACCCCGATGATTTTGAGGGAGTTTCTGACACCCACTCTACTTTTGATCTTGCTTATTTGTGTTTTTGTGATATTTTGCAACTGAGGACAATGTACATTCTTAAGTGTGGGGTGAAGTGTTAGACTTCGATTTTTGTGGCATGTGCTTAATTGCTAGTGATACATTTATAATTACATGATACACTTATGGCCATTGTAATTGTATAATTGTAGCCATTTTTTAGTTGCTTAATCCCGAGTTTTATTTAAACCACAGTTCTTTTCCGTGATACTATTTTCTTGAATTAGGTATTTTTAGGTAGATGTTTTTTGTAATCTTTATGGACTTTTCCCGATGATGGATTACCTAGACAGTTTTCTGGAGGGACTAAAGTCTAAAAAAATACAAAAAGATTTTTTCCTTTTTCAACTGATAATAGAATAGGACGAACTTTAACATCTATGTTGTTGACATGTTTTATATCGGGGCTTAGGTTTGGAGAGTTTTAACTAAATATTTCCACCATGATCTTTATTTTACATGCCTTGACAATATGTTTGGTTTTCTTTTAATGTTTAAACTCATTTGCTGACTCCTATGATTACTATCTAGTTGTTGGAATTGTTATGATGACTATGCTTAGTTGTTTAACTTGAGAGTCGGGCCTAAGCCGTCTGGAGTGAATCATGTGTATTGTGTGATGTGAGGTCTTTATTACATTCTATGATATACCTGTGTTAGTCTAGAACTTTTCACGTATATTAGTCAAAGCGAAATAAGTAAGCTTTGTGAGTCTAGGATGTGATGTAGGCATTTCTTTGATTGTCCATTGAGCTAGTATAACACCATAAACAAAATTATCCTTAGATAGACAATTTGAGCCTATAAGCCTTTCCTTTGTCCCCCACATTACAAGTTGATTCCCTTTTTGTTCTTAATCAGATCTTCTTGAATATTTACCTCCGAAATCACTCAAGTCGCTTGAAGAGTATGGTGAGAGTTGAGGTAGTGTTTGAGTAGAATCATAGAAAGGCTAAATGCACACTTATGTTTTGAAAGATCATTAGGTGGACAACCTAAATTAGGAGCGTTTTGGAAAAAAAGAAGGTCATAGAAAATACAAAAAAAAAAGAGCAGAAAATTGTATACGACGAAATTAGAGGAACCGATTTCTCGTTAATAAGGCGTCTCGAAAGATGACCTCGAAGGCTCGAGCCCACAGACCGATTACCCTCCCTCGAGGTCTATCGACACCCGACCTAGGATAACGTTGGTTGTGACCCCAATGGGCATAGAGAGTTTCCGAAGAGTGCAGCCGGGGCTGGCAAAATCTGTCAGGCTAGTCTAAGCTAGTCTGAGCCTGCATCATGAAGTTAGCCAGCTATCCCATCATGGTTACTTTATTATTAATGTATTTTGTACTATGTTGGGATTTCCCTTCCTATATAAGGGGGATCCTTGGCACTTTGTAACTCTATGTTGCTCCATCCACTCCATAAGAAATATAGAAGAACAATCTCTTTGCTCTCATATACACCCTCTTGATATTATTGCTTTCATTTATTGTCTTCATATTTGTTCATCATTTATTGTTTGTTATTGTCCATAGAGAGCCTTCGTTGATTATTTCATAAATGTTAGCTCTACCCCGATCACCCGCGACAGCTCGAGCCCGAGCCCTAGAATCGACCTCGAGGCCCAAAACCGATAGGCTCAAGGCTCCGAATAGTTTACTTGGTGGTTTGGTTTTCACCTTATTCCTAACTTTTATCCCGTTTCTAAGTCTCACACATAGCATCAACTGCTTAACAAACTAGCATAAAAATAGATTACGTATTTTTAGAGTCCCATCAACAAATTTAATTGTTATTGCCATTTTTACGGTAAACGGTTTGGCGCCCACCGTGGGGATAAAAATAATAGTGATTATTTTTTTGTTGTTTTACTACATAACACAAGTTATTTCTCATGCTGTTTCTTGTCCAAGATCTTCGATTTCAGGTCAAAATGTCTAACTCGGTAAACGGAGATGAAAATAACAATCTTGAGGACCATGGGAAAAACGGTGTGGCTGTTCAAGGTGTTGTTGTGCTGTCGCAAAACCCTGGGAATGCACCAGAGCCAGTCCCCATGGACGCGGTCTCACGCGATGCCCAGCGCATCGACATAAGCTCCCACACTGACAGGAGGGTGCACCAAGGGGATCACAAGAAGCATAGAAAACTCCAACTAGGGAAGAACGTGAGGTTAGCCTTCATATTATTTTTGAAATGTTACAGGCACAACAGCAAGGTATTGCTTAGCTGTAAAGTCACCAGAAAACTTTTAGTACGGTAGCACCGGGGATAGCTCCCCCAGCCAAACAGGTACCTGAGAGATCGAGCAATAACGGATCGATAGACGATCTTGTCATCATAAAAATGCTCGAAGACCTCACCAAAAGGATCGAATCAGGCGAGAAAATGATAGAATCCAGCAACAAGAAGGTCGTGACCTACAACTCCAGGGTTGACCAAAATCCGGGCGCACCCCCAGTCCTGAAAGGTGTGGATTCGAAGAAGTTCATATGAAGGTCGTTCCCTCAGGAAGTTGCCCCGAAACCAATTCTGAAGAAGTTCAACATGCTGGAACTCCCAAAGTACAACGGGAACTCAAACCCTAGTGAACATGTTACTGCCTACATTTGCGCAGTAAAGGGCAACGACATAAAGAACGATGAGATCGAATCCGTATTACTAAAGAAGTTCGGGGAAACACTCTCGAAGGGGGCCATGATGTGGTATCACAACTTAGCTCCTAACTCCATAGACTCATTCGACATGCTAGCAGACTTCTTCCTAAAAGCACATGTCGGTGCCATCAAAGTAGCAACAAGGAAATCCGACGTCTTCAAGATCAAGAAAAGGGAGAAAGAGATGCTATGAGAATTCGTATCCCGTTTCCAAATGAAACAGATGGAACTACCGCCAGTCTCTGATGACTGGGCAGTGCAGGCTTTCACTCAAGGTCTGAATTAACGAAGCTCGATGGCTTCAAAACATTTTAAACAAAATTTGATTGAATATCCCGTTGTGACCTGATGGGATGTCCACACCCAATACCAGTCAAAGGTCAAGGCCAAAGATGGCCAGCTGCGAGCCCCCTCGGGCTCAGTATACCCATGCAGGGTTCCGACGAAGAAACCTAAGCAAAAAGAAGAATGGTATCAGACATACGCCGAAGTACTGAGGAACACCCCGAAGCGCAACCCACCTCGCAATGATTGAAGAATGGATTGAGGACAGGATCCTCGGACACTCATTAACACGACCAAATTCGATAGGAACGCAGGGCCAATGGGGGCACCTCACT